TGTAGGTTGTAAAGAATTTTTTTTTTCAGGTGATAAAATGTTCAATTTTCCCCAGGGTGCGTGTTGGGAGGGGTGGCAAGCGTGAGCAAATTTTCCCCTCTTGAGAAGTGTTAATGAAAAAAATGATGTGAATTTTGTGTAAAAGTTTAAAGGGGTGTGAAAAATTAAGAGTAAGGATGAAAAAAAAAAGATGCGAGGACTTACCGTCGTGGGGTGTGGTGGGGTGTGGTGGGGTGGGGTGGGGTGGTTGGGTCGGGGTATGGTGTGTGTGTGTGTGTGTGTGTGTGTGTGTGTGTGTGTGTGTGTGTGTGTGTGTGTGTGAATGCTTTTTGATAACTACCCGAGGTTTGCCCGGTATGATGCGTGGGAATAATTTTCAAAAGATTCCCAGGATGTGTTTTGGAAAAAAAGATGTGTTTTGGAAAAAAAGATTCCCATGATGTAATGGTATGACGTGTGTTGTGTTGTTGTTGTTGTTGTGTTTTTGAGTGACAGCAGCAAGTGGGGGGCCCCGTTCTGCTAAGCGTGACTAATAATTGAACAGGTGTTGTGTTGTTTTTCTCCTCACAATACTATAAAAACTGGCCGTAAAAGAGACAGATTGGTGCGGAGAGTGACTTTTCTGCAAAACCATCGTCGTGGATTCTCCAAACAGACCGTCTAAGGTTCAAGCCGGATCTCCGATCTTGAATTCCTTGAGCAAATGGCGCTATCGCACATTCATTCGGGACAACTTACAAAAGCGTGGAATACCTTATTTCGTGTGGCCAAACAGCATAAAACGACTGAAACTGAAGGAGCCACCCCTGAGGACCAGTCAAATTTTGAGCGCGAGGAAGGCCTTCGTTCGCAATGACATACCTAAACACTACTGGCCCCGTTCGATTCGGGAAGAAAACGATGTTACACCTTCGCAGAAGAAAAAGCAGGAAATCAACAGATTCAGAGCGGACGACAGTCTGTTTAAACCAAGCATAAAGAGGAGATGTCTTTCGATGACGTATTTGACAATTTTGCCGAAAGAAACCCGGCTGAACAATCGCTGCATCGTTTTCCGTCAGAGCAGACTGTTTCACAGTGACAAGCCGACTGAAGTCTCCATTTCCGAAAAGGAGTTGTACCTGTTAAACCAGACCGTCCCGAAAACGAATGAAGTGGGGGAATTGCATGCTATGATCTTACAGGCCAGAAACAGGTCATGCATGGTTCGCGACACAAAACACAAGACCGAACTGTCCAGGTCTGCCACAATCACACTGAAGGTCAGATCCGCGCATTATTTGCGTCAAATCACCCTGACCATCACAGGGCTCAAGACCCCTGAGTTTACCTACAGAGTTCGACTGGAAGTGTGCACGTCACCTGTGATAAGGCACGAAAACGTGTGCTCCAGCGATGACGACCAGTGGATTTTTTATTTTGCCCCTACTGAAAAAGAAGAGCACGTCCAGCTGATTGAAATAACTTTGCGGGAGAGCGAACTACTGGATATTTATCACGCGGTCAAACATGTTCTGACAGGTAAGAAAAACGCTTTTTTTCTTAAAAATTCATTTTGACCGTTTGAGGTACCGTAGTTTGTGAATATAAGCCGTGGAAAGGGTTATACCGTTTCAAGTTGCAGCGTGTGGCCGAAGAGTAAGCATGTACGAGCCCGTTAAACCTTTTAACGATTTTCTCTCTCTATCACCAGCCAGCGTAATATGTGGTTGCGACAGCTGTCATATTTCACGCCCGACGAGTCTGATGTCTAAATACCAAGATGACAAAACAGCGATGCGCATGTGCGAGGACATGCCCAGCGGGAGAGATTGGGGGTGTTCCCCCACTCACCAGCCAGAGCACGAAGAAGAGAGTTCTGATCTAGACCTCGTGGAACGTAAAAAAAGCGGTGAAAATGACATTTCAGATTCGACCAGCGCCAGCGAGGTAGAAGAAGAGGAAGAGGAAGTCTCCGGCGTGACCGATCTGGACAGCGATGAATTTATCGTGGTGGACGAGGACGGCTTACAAAGCCGACCTTCTTCGCCGGCTGACATCGAGCAGCGTGAGAGAGAGAACGCGAGCGCTTTCTCAGGAACGGGGTCAAAAGGTCAATACGAGGAACCTCTTGACGCCGGCGCCAGCTCGGAAAGTCAGAGCGAGAAGCCTTCGGACCTCAGTCTGAAGGGCCGAGCCACGAAAATTGTGGAATTTAGATCAAGAGCGATCATCCTGGCTGTCCGTCAATGGGTTACGAGAGATTGCGGTGGGTGTCAAATTGAACACCCATCACAGAAACAGCACAGTTGCGTGGAAGGCGTCCCCGTAAGATTTCTGGACAACGAGTTAAAGCAGAAGTGGCTGAATCTCATTCCCGCTTGTGAATTGGAAATAAAAGAGTCTCTAAAGCAACACTTTGAATTAAAAGAACCTCATGATGGTTTTGTAATAAACATTTTGCGTAGAATTTACACGCTGACGCAGGAAAAATTGAGTGAATATAACCCGCTGTCCGAGTACCTGAGCAGAGATCCGTCCGAAATTCTGAGCCGGTTCTACATGCGGCCGGATGAACCTCTGAACAGCGCTGCGGAATCAACGGCCGCAGACGGCGCTGCAAGAGTTGTACCATAAACCCGGGTCGGAAGGCGGTCTGTGTGGTAGGGAGCCCTTTATCAAAAGCGTAAGGGAGGTGGGGTTGGCTAATAAAAATAAAGATGAAATTGATAGGTTTTTACAAAGTTCCGACACTTACACGCTACACAAACCCCGAAGAATAAACTTTAAAAGGAGTTTCGTACTGGCGTGCGAAAAAGATTCACAATGGCAGTTAGACATGGCAGATTTATCCTCTCTGTCGGAACACAACGATGGGAAAAAGTTTATTTTAACCTGCATAGATGTGTTTTCAAAATACGCGTGGGTGGAGGCGTTGGAAAATAAGAACGCCAAGAGCGTAACGAAGGCCTTTGAACAAATACTTTTACGAGGTAGAAAACCCGTCACCCTTCAAAGTGACAAGGGGCGAGAATTTTGTAATCATTCATTTATGAAACTTTTAAACAAATATAAAATAAGACCTTTTACTACGGCTAGCGAATTGAAAGCCTCTGCGGTGGAGCGATTTAACAAAACCCTCAAAACGCGGATGTTCAGATATTTTACAGGTTTTAACACCTTGAGATATTTAGATGTGCTTCAGGAACTAGTGAGCGCTTACAATCGCGCCTTTCACAGATCTATTAAAATGCGTCCCGAAGAAGTGAACGAGGGCAATCAGATACAGGTGTTTCATCATCTGTACGGGAAAAGAATGAGAGGGGAATTACCCCGACCCAAGTTTAAAATAGGTGACGCGGTTCAGATTTCGAAAGAGCGCAGGGTCTTCGCGAAAGGTTACGAACAGTCTTTCACGGATGAATATTTTTTTGTGGATAAAATTATTAAACGAGACCCGCCGATGTATAAACTAAAAGACCTCGATAATGAAATAATAGAAGGTTCTTTTTATGAAGAAGAAATGCAGAAAATTATTGTACCTGAAAATAAAGTCTATCGTGTAGAAAAAATACTGGCTAGGAAAAAAACTAAATCCGAGGTTCTCGTTAAGGTGAGATGGAAAGGTTGGGATAAAAAATTTGACTCCTGGGTAAACGAAAATTCTATCCAGGACGCTCGATAAAAGCCCCGTGAGAGAGCGGTGCGAGCCCCTATTCGGAAGCGCGGACCACCCCACCATGGAAGAAACCAGAGATTTTTTCATCACTCTGCCGAGTAACGCTAGCGACAAATTATACCCTCAAAACGATATATCCAGCTACAGGGTGAAGTTAGCCAAAACCGTTCCCCTCAGGGGCGGTTGGGAGGTCGGCTTAGCAGAAATTTCATTTCCTCAGAGTTGGTACACGCTGGCGGACGGCGGGCGACAGGAAACGGACTTTTGGGTGTGCAAAGGGCCGGATCTCAGTAAACAGGTGGCTTTGAAAGTAAAATGCGGTTATTATACTTACATCGCTGACATTTTGACCGAAATGAACAAATATTTTAGAACCACCAAAACCCACGTCGAATTATATTTGGATAAGGTCACGAGACGGGTAAAATTAGGGGACACACCGGAGGAGATTATACGACTGACCTCGCTGAACAGATGGCCTATTCGGATTCGAACGCACGGACAGTTGGCGCACATTCTGGGCTTCGAGGAACAGAAGTGGACTGACCCGACCGAAACTAAATTCCCTGCCCATATTAAAGGCGGAACGTTTTATTTGTTTCTTTATTCAGATATTTCTTCACATCAGATCGTGGCCGATACCTTAGCACCTCTTTTGCGAACCGTTCAAATACCCAAAGCACATCTGGATTTCGTCACGCTAAACTTTGACAAGGTGCACTACAACCCGGTCAGCAAACACGTGTTTGATGAAATTTTAATAGAGTTGAAGACGGATCAAAACCGAAACGTCAAATTCGAATTTGGAAAAGTGATCGTGAAGCTACATTTTAGATCGTTCCGATAAAAAATGTCTGCTTATCACGCCGACCCTAGCCCCTACGTCCTCTACTACACGCGACAGGCGGGGTCCGGTTTAGAAGGTTTCAGCGGAGCGCCCGTGCAGTACGGAAGAGGGATCGGCAACGTTTTTCGGGGTTTGTTTAGACTGGCGGTGCCTCTGCTAAAATCGGGCTTCAACTTAGTCAGACCACACCTCAAGACCGCTGCTAAAAATATCGCGAAAGACGTGGTTTCCGCAGCGGCGGGGAAATTACTGGGAAACGCGTCGGAAAGGCGGCAGGAGGGGGAAGGCCTGGTGGTTTTGAGCCGCGCGAATCGACGCATGCGCCCACCGGGGCGTCGCGGTTCCGTACCTTTTAAAAATAAAAGCGTTTTTTCAAAAGGTCTCAGTCTGAACAGGAAGCTGGCGGGTGCGCTCGTCCGCGCCTCTCGTTTAAGGAATAGGAAGAAAAAAAAGAGCGAGCGGAAAACCGGTGCGGGTCCCGACATATTTTAAAAGATGTCTCTCATACACAGCGCCTCGGCGGAATGCATGAAGTCCGAGCTGGACCTATTTACGATCCCTATGACGCAACACAGTATAGAATCCTACAAATACGTAGAAACGCCTCCCATCACGGCCATTACCAAAAACGGCCCCCTGGAATTTTTTATAGCGGGGTCGGGGGACACCTACGTCGATCTGAACCGTTCGCTTTTGTACCTCACGTGCAAAGTTACCAACACGGACGGAACCGATCTGGCGGCCGGCGCGGCCGTAGGTTTGATCAATTACCCCGCGGCCACTCTTTTTAGCCAAGTCGACCTGTCCCTCGGCGATAAGCTCATTTCTCAAAGCGGTTCCACGTACGCCTACAGGGCTGTTCTGGAGTGTTTGCTTAACTATTCCGAACCTACTCTGAATTCGCAATTCGCAGCGGGGCTGTTTCGCAAAGACGCGGCGGGGCGCATGGACGAAGCTGACCCGAACAGAGACAATGAGGGGTTAACGTGGCGAAGCGCTTATTGCGAAAGGAGCCGAACGTTCGAATTAATGGGACATTTGCATAACGACTTTGCATTTCAGGAAAAGCTTCTTTTAAATTCCGTCGACATGAGAATCAAGTTAGTTCGTAATAAAAACGAGTTTGTTTTAATGTCGTCGGATCCGAACCCGGGCTATAAACTTCACATTTTAACGGCCCTTTTGTACGTGAAAAGAAGACACGTGTCACCCAGTGTGAAACTGGGGCACGCGTCAGCTTTGCTTCAGTCTAACGCGAGGTACCCGTTAGAACGAGTTAACGTGAAAGTGTTAAGCGTGCCGGCGGGGGGTCGCGTGTCAAACCAGGATAATCTATTTTTGGGCCAAGTGCCAAAATTCATCGCTATAGGTTTTGTTCATAACGAAGCTTTCAGCGGATCTTACGCGCGAAATCCTTTTAATTTTCATCATTACGACGTGGAATCTTTAAATCTCAGCGTGGACGGTGTGTCCTACCCGTCCACGCCTTTTCGACCCCTTTTTCCCAGGCAGCGCTGCCTGCGAGAATACTTCAGCCTGGTCGAGGCTACGGACAGAGGGTTGAGGGACCAGCCTTTGGCCATCTCTCGTGAAGATTTTTCTCAGGGCTACTGTTTATTCGCGTTCAACTTGACCCCCGACGAAAGCTCGGGCGAATACGTTTCCTTAATACAGTCGGGGCACGTTAGACTGGACCTCCGGTTTCGAGCGCCTTTGCCCAACACCATAAACATCATCGTGTTTGCGGTTTTTGACAACGTGTTAGAAATTAATCACAAACGTGAAGTGCTTATGGACTATTTTTGAAAAAAAATGGACACCAGACAGATCGCTAAAGCCATGCGATGCACCCTCGGTTTCAGAGGCGTATTCCCCTGCGATCAACTACCTCGGGTGTTAAAACACACACCTCCGTCCTGTTTTATTGTGAATACACATCCTCACACCCTGCCAGGACAGCACTGGTTGGCTGTTTTAATACTGTCAGATGGAAATGCAGAGTTTTTTTATTCCTACGGGTTTCCGCCGGACTCTGAATTTTTCCCCAGTTACATCATGCTTTTTCTAAAAAATAATTCACGACGAGTTTTGTGTAACGCTAGACAAGTTCAAGACCATAGGTCGGACGCCTGCGGGCATCATTGCGTGTATTTTCTAAAACAGCGTATGAAGGGTCTTACGTTTTCTCAGGTTCTAAATTCTTATACCACCGATTTACGAGAAAATGATCGGTCTGTTAAAAAAATTGTAAAAAGTTTGCTGCGGATAGATTCTTACTGTCATATTGTACATGGAGTACAAAGTTGTGTTTACCGTTGTGATTTTATCAATAAATGATTACAAAATGATCTTTTAACGTCTGTGTGATTATATATTTCAATAAAATCGCTACGCTTTAAAAAATGTTTACTTTATTCAAACACACACACACACACACACACACACAAGAAAAAACATATTAAAAGAGTTGAAAAATATGAGACTATGTTTTAATGAAAAAAACAAAAGCATAAAATGTACTTTGAATCAGATATAAATGATGTGGTTATTTTAACATACGAATGAAAGCATTTTGGTTTTAATAAAAATGTGAAAAGATTCAAACATACACATTACCCGTTGGTTTAAAAATGACACGATTATAAAAAGAATAAAATGTACTTTAATTCAGATATAAATGAAAACATTTTGTTTTTAATAAAAATGTAAAAAAAGATTCAAACATTCACATTATCCGTTGGTTTAAAAATGACACGATTATAAAAAGCATAAAATGTACTTTGATTCAGATATAAATGATGTGGTTATTTAAGCATACGAATGAAAGCATTTCTTAATACGACATCCACCCCGGAGGTTCAAAGTGTGTTTTTCTATTTCTTTTTTTTAACCCGCGAGGGCGTACTCGCAGGCGTGCTAAACGTTAAAGAATTATCAACGGACCCTTTGATGTGTTTGTATTTTTCCATCTCTTGCCTTACAGAAGAATTACCCAAGGCCCCCGAAGGAACGTTGGTGTCCGCCAAGCTGCGAAGGAAACTGCTCCACCCGACGGGTTTGTAATTGAGCTTCTGATAAGAGGTTGCCGTTTTTAACAAATCAAATATATGACTCCCTTCCACGACATCCCCTCTGTACACGAATTCGCCGCGAGTCGTCCACGCGTTTTCCAGCGCGTCCATAATCAGTCGGGCTTTGTTTCTCGAACGAGCGGGCAAGTGTTCCAGAACCTTTGTGGAGAAGCCGTCCGGTGTTTTACTTTCTCGTTTTTCTTCTTCTTCTTCTTCTTCTTTAGATGGAGGTAAACTTAAAGTCAGTTCTTTTTTTTCCAAAGATTTTTGTTTGACCAGAGTCAGATATTTCCGCAAAAGTTGAGAATACAAATCCAGTTTGGTGTCCGCGGATAAATCCTTTCTCTCCAACAGGGATTTAATCTCCCGCTCCAGTTCATTCTCGCTGTTTTCCCTAATGTCGCCTTTAGAGGAGGAGGAGGAGGGTGTGAGTTTTTGCAATTGGTCGGCAGAGACTAGATACAGTTTTCGCGCGTGGTTCATTGCTGCCTGGGGGTTAGCATTTGTAACACAAAAGGCAGGGCCGCGGCTATTAACGGGCCGATAAAACCCCCCTTCTGAATGAGTTTACGCTTGCGCCCAAACGGATAACTTTTGTCAGCCAGATGTCTTAAACAGCGTCGCCTTTTCCTAAACTGTTTATACTGAGAGTCAGTCAGCGGGACGTTGCCTTTTAAAACGTTTAAAACGATTTCGCATATGGCCAAAATCACGTATTTGGGTACATTTTTTTTGTCGGCTTTATTTTTTCTCTTGGCGTTTATCCAAGCGCTTAGAAAAGGGAGAGCTTTTCTTAAACGGGCTGACGTCATTTTGAAAAAAAAAAAAATCTATGTTTTAGGTACGTACACCACAGATTCTTGTCCGGGTAACAGCCCGCTCCGCAACCTAAATCTTTCTGGCGTTTCGGCTTTAAGATCCACAATTAAATAACCGAAAGGTTTACTCGTAGCGTCCTGGAACGATTCCAGGAAATATTTCGATTGTGCCAAGAGATTCCTGCCCCTCGACTGTAATCAGTTTTATTTTAAGGCTGTAAGACAACAAAGTGTTAGAATAACGAAAGTAGCTTTAAAATTTTATGAAGGTACTGTATTTCTAAGGCACTGTCACACATTTTTATAATAATCAGCTTGACTGTTAGGTCCATATTAGTCAAAACGTCATTTCAGTCTTACCAGTCATTCTGCTGGTGATTTCCAAAGCTCTGTGAAATAAAATGCAGACATGAAGCATTTTAATATACTGCAGCAAACCATACTGATAATAGTTTTACCACAAAGTGACTTAACTTAGTACTTTAAGCCAAACTCCTAAAATGTCAGTGTAGTGCAGACTAAACTAGCATAAAGTTATACATCAGACACTTTAATTTACTATCCTAATTCTCTGTGTGAGGGATGTTTCTTTGGTTTACCTTCCTAAATGTTTTATCTGCCTTCTGCTACCTACACAAACGTAGCCAGCTGTTAGCTTACTCAGCTGTAGCTCCACATCAGCTCTGAGTGATTCCGGCTCTTCCTAAATGCCGTAGCCGCGCTGTGGGGTTGCTAAGCAACATCAAGGGTTACAGGCAGGCGAGCTAGCTTTCGCTAAGCTAAGATTATGCTAGCGTTAACTAACTTACCCAAAAGGTAGTGTCAGCTGACAGACACAGCTAAGAGTATGTAAGCTGAAATTCAGTTGTGACCGTGGTTTTAAACCACAAGCAGAAGAAGTGAATTCGTCCTCATTCCACTTGATCCAGTAACGCATACGCGTTGGCGCTCGGTGAGAAGAGTCTTCGGTGTTTTGGAGCTGCAGTTTCTGTCATCACGCATCAGTCATCTTAGTAATGAGCATAAGCGAATGTTGTGAAGAGGTTTTACTGCACCAGCTTAATAAAAATGGTAGTTAAACAGGTATCGTTCATTTGGTGAGTATGATTTGAATATACAGAGCTCGAAACGGTCGCGTTTGGCTTAACGGTCACGTCGAGACTCTCGCTACAAGGGGGCGGAGTCAGGCCGGACAGCCCCGCCCATTACGTGTTTTACTGGTCTGAAATAATCTTTTCTTCGCTGAAACTCTCACTAAGGATTTTTATCTTATTTAAGTAATTTATGGCACAAAATAAGTACAAAAAGTCAATGATTAAATTGTTACAATGTTGTGTCTATAGTCAACTTTTTTTATTTGTTTAAAGAAGTAGCCCCATGTTACATTGTTTTATTTCAGGGATTTTGAGATGGTTTTGAGATGGTATTTGGTAATACTGAATTCAGGGGATTCAGTTGTTTTTTATGATTCTTAAAAGCGGCCTTTTTAACAAAGGTAGTGTATTCACACGTGCTATGAAGTTGATAAAAGATGAAAGCAATGTTGCTTTTTTTTTTGCTTATTTCAAGAATTCTTACAAAGTAAAACTTGCTTGATTGTGTTAAATATATGCTTATAAATTAGCATGCATAAGGAATACATCTTGGTTTTTGGTCAGAAAACACTATATGCAACATAATTTACATTTAGAAATACATATTGCACCATCAAAAAACCCAAAAAACCTTAGTAGAGCCAAGCAATTAGAAGCACATATTGTTCATATACCATGGTATACATACCAAGCCCACAGAGAAATCCCTACGTCACTGAAAACAATACCTTTTTTAAGCAGGTCTCATAGAGCTTTGCCATACATGGGTCAGATGCTGTTTTTGCGCGAGTCTCAGTCAGCCGTCAGTTTCAATACTCAGCCAAACAGCCTATTTGCTAGCAGAGATAGTATGGTTGAAGACAGTAACTACAATTCAACATTGATTCAACGTCTTGCTTTCAACGTTGAAACAAGGTTTAAGGATTCAACCTATGGCAACGTTGACTTGTAGTTGATTTTTGGTCATCAACCAAAAAAGACGAAAATGACGCGATATCAACGTTGATTCAACGTTACTTTGCTATCTGGGTCTTTTATTGTTTTTTTTTAATAAATAGTTTAAAGGACTGTATGTATGATGTTCTTTAGACACTTATTAGGAAACATTAGTCAACTGTTTTACACCCATTTTTTGAGACGATGAGGTGCAGAGTTGAAAACTGAATCCATTTTGTTCTACTGGACTTTTTTTTTGCTTAACATAATATTTAATTCAATAACAGATTTAAGATAAGCTGTTACTTTTCTTAGTTTTTTTTTCTGACTGCATTCAATAAAAACTACATTAAAATCTGAAACTGCTGTTACCAGAAACAGTGAGTTTTCCTCAGCCTGTTTTGAGTGCTGTTGCCATGGTGACGGAGATTCGGCGGTTAAATAAGCAGACTGAACCGGTTTAAACCAGGTGCAGCCGGTCTTCTCCGGTTTATTCCAGAGGGGCGCCTGCAGCCACCTTAACTACAGGGTAAGAAGTGGAGAGTAAAATACTTTTTTTGTTAATGTTGCTTGTGTTGAGGTTTATATAAGGCTTGTAATGCGTTCTATAAAGGTATCACACGGATTTAGTATGTTAGCTAACGTTAGCTACCTTTTACTTGATCTCAATGTAACAGCTAGCTACTTAGCTAATGTAGCTACTTAGCTAATATTAGCCAACATTAAGTTAGTTAGCTAACTAGGTTAACTATCTTGCTAACTTTATATTAGTGATGGGCTTAATATGTTTAGTAATACAAAAATAACTCATAACTAGTAATGTAGCTAATAAAATGATAAAATCGCCAAGGAACATTAATCGCAGAGATAAATGTCTATAAATGAGG